GTGGTGAGAGGGAGTGAGGGGTGAGGGTCGTGAGAGGGGTCAGGGGTGAGGGTCGTGAGAGGGAGTGAGGGATGAGGGTGGTGAGAGGGAGTGAGGGTGGTGAGAGGGAGTGAGGGTGATGAGAGGATTGAGGGGTGAGGGTTGTGAGAGGGAGTGAGGGGTGAGGGTGGTGAGAGGGAACGGTGGAGTGAGGGGTGAGGGCGATGAGAGGAGGAGCGAAAAGTAAAGAGGATGGCGGTGTGGGTGATGAAACGTAGGTTTAAAGATGGAGCGTGGGGATGATGAGGAGGGATGATGACGCACCTGCATGTAGAAGAGGATGGCGGTGGGGATGATGAGGCAGGCTCTGAGGCGGCTGAGGCAGCTGTCGTGCAGGTCGGGGTGGATGACGTCACAGAAGGTCCTCCACTTCAGCTCCGCGTCGCCGTTCCAGAGCTCCTCGATGGAGGGCGTCCCCCCTGCGTGGGGGGACAGGTCAGAGTCCCTATACCTCACTGGCGGGACTGAGGGATATTTCTCAAACGGGGGAATGAGGGGGCTTAAACACATGGGGAAATGTACCATTAATTGAAGTTCATTGCCCCGCTCTAACAAAATTTTGATGCGGGCCAGACTGCGGGCATCAGATGCCGCCCAGGAATCGGGGAGCACGTAAATCAGCCGCTCATGTCCGCTTCGACTCTGTGTTTGACGTGCAGCTTATGGGCAACTTGCAAGCTCGGGATGACAAGCCACGGCCAACCCTTAATGTCATACTCTAAGGAAAAACTCATTGTACTCTCACGGCACACTTGTCATACTCTCAGGCTATATTAGGTTAGAAAGGAGATTCCGAACAGTACCAGACTTCGATCGGATGGCAAAGATACCCCGAATAACTTTAAGCCGAGTGTAGTCCTTCCTGGGCAGAAGCCTACTCAGTACCCGAATTTTGTTTGAGCGTGAACTGCGTATTCCGAAGAAACAGATAACTTATCTCAACCTGAACGCCTCCTCCGCAATATGGGTAACATAGCAATGTTAACGCCCACGTTAGCCCCGCTCATCCCCGAGCTCCCCGTCATTTAGCAGCCCCCCCCCCCTGACCTAGCAGCTCCCCCCCTTGCCTTAGCAGCTCCCCCCTGACCTAGCAGCTCCCCCCTGACCTAGCAGTTCCCCCCTGACCTAGTAGCCCTCCCCTCACCGAGCCCTGTCTTCACCTAGATCCCTACCCTCTCACCTAGCAGCTCCCCTCACCTAGCCCTCACATCACCTAGATCCCTCCCCTCACCTAGCAGCTCCCCTCACCTAGCCCTCACATCACCTAGATCCCTCCCCTCACCTAGCAGCTCCCCTCACCTAGCCCTCAAATCACCTAGATCCCTCCCCTCACCTAGCAGCTCCTCGGGCTGGACGCGGTCTGGGGCCTCGAATGTGTTGCCGTTGTACATGCACCATTCCTCCACGTAGTCTGGCGCGTCTGCCGGCACACAGCTGTGTTATTTGTGAACTTTGTGTGATGTAACACAACACAAGCACATGTGTGTGATCTACGTTCATCCTTTGTGTAGTGTAACACATTTGTGTTCCTAGTGTGTACTGATTATGTCTTGCGTAAAACAAGACAAACACAAGTCTTCTCTGTATATCGACTAATTAAGTGAAACGCAAGGGTAATACAAAAATGACACAATAAAGGCCAAATTGCCATATTATGTGGATAACCTGGCTATTAAATTGATATTAAGAGAAGGCTATTGCTGCGAATATAATATATTGAAGTGGGATTACAAGTGTAAATGTGATGCTCGTAATGTTAAAATGTAGCAATATGGAAGAGTGTGAAGTGATGATATGAATAATATTACTACTATATGAAGTAAAAAATGTAAAAATATAAGGTAATTATAAGGTAACAACATTGGCGTGGGTAAGGCTATTGATGTAGGTAATACGGAGAACTAGTGAGGCGGGTATTTTGCTAGTGTCAGAGCTAGTGAAGTGGTAGGTGATATACATGGCACTAGTGAGGCGGGTATTTTGCTAGTGTCAGAGCTAGTGAAGTGGTAGGTGATATACATGGAACTAGTGAGGCGGGTATTTTGCTAGTGTCAGAGCTAGTGAAGTGGTAGGTGATATACATGGAACTAGTGAGGCGGGTATTTTGCTAGTGTCAGAGCTAGTGAAGTGGTAGGTGATATACATGGAACTAGTGAGGCGGGTATTTTGCTAGTGTCAGAGCTAGTGAAGTGGTAGGTGATATACATGGAACTAGTGAGGCGGGTATTTTGCTAGTGTCAGAGCTAGTGAAGTGGTAGGTGATATACATGGAACTAGTGAGGCGGGTATTTTGCTAGTGTCAGAGCTAGTGAAGTGGTAGGTGATATACATGGAACTAGTGAGGCGGGTATTTTGCTAGTGTCAGAGCTAGTGAAGTGGTAGGTGATATACATGGAACTAGTGAGGCGGGTATTTTGCTAGTGTCAGAGCTAGTGAAGTGGTAGGTGATATACATGGAACTAGTGAGGCGGGTATTTTGCTAGTGTCAGAGCTAGTGAAGTGGTAGGTGATATACATGGAACTAGTGAGGCGGGTATTTTGCTAGTGTCAGAGCTAGTGAAGTGGTAGGTGATATACATGGAACTAGTGAGGCGGGTATTTTGCTAGTGTCAGAGCTAGTGAAGTGGTAGGTGATATACATGGCACTAGTGAGGCGGGTATTTTGCTAGTGTCAGAACTAGTGAAGTGGTAGGTGATATACATGGAACTAGTGGGGGGGGGGTATAGTGCTAGTGTTAGAGCTAGTGAAGTGGTAGATTATACGTATACATGGAACTAGTGAGGCGGTATAGTGCTAGTGTCATAGCTAGTGAAGTGGTAGGTGGACCAGATAGAACTAGTGGTGAGTAGTATAGACACAACTAGTGCTTATAGTGACTTCCGAATGGTAGGTGAAGTACAGAAACTATTGGCTAGTGGAATGATGTGACTAAAATCTAGAAAAGTAGAAATAAACTAGTGATACCTTGTAAAGATAATAGTGTCAGGACGTACATATGTGGATGTGCATAGCCGTAAATCAGATCTAGTAAATGGAGACAGGGGTTAGTAAGCAACTAGAGATGAGCAGCAGGTGTTACAAGCAACTATATATATGGCAGGTGCTAGCAACAAAGTAGCAGCAAGGGCTAGCAACAAACTAGCAGCAGGGGCTAGTGAGCCACTGGTGTCAGGTGTAATATAAGCAACAATAAATATGGCAGGTGCCAGCAACAAACTAGCAGCAAGTGCTAGTGTGTCACTAGTGCGTCACTAGTATGAGGTGTACTATAAGCCAGTAGCATCACACATACCACATCACGTACAGACGGCGGCAGCAACAGAAACGGGCGGCAGCTTTGGTAGGAACAAGCGAAAGCGTTGGCTGCCACAGCAATTCACACTTACTACACATGGACTAACTAATTACTACAACTATTTAATACAGTGATTAGCTATAAATTAAGCTAACTACCCAGTCAAAATAAACATAGGGTCGCCTGCATGTTACTGACATAACAGGCGATCGAGGTTGTCGATTATAAAATAAATTATTATCAAATGTTGGATAAAATGAAATTTCTACGCCTTTAATTAGAGGCCGTCGACAGATGAAGTCCATCGGACCATAAACATACGATCAAACATCATGAACTCGTAGCTAGTAACTAATATCAGTTGTCATTTCGTTCTTACGTAGTTGCGATCACTTGGACTAAATTGGAGATCATTGTAGTAATATTAACTGTTAAATTTAGTAAGTACCAAAACAAAGAATTTAAAAGCAAAGAAAACGCCAAGCAAATTCACCATATCGATATTGAATATATCGATATTGAATAAATCGATTTAAGCAGACTGACAATATAAATAAGTACTTAAGTACCAAGACGCGCTCGTGGCTGATTATATAGGCGTCAAATGTCACCTATTAAGGCGACGAAACACAGGTAAAACGACCTTGATTTTTGACTGGGTAGCTTGCTGCTGACGCACTACGGCGCCTTGCGTAACAAGTACCGGTATTATAAATAAATACAAACTTCCGTTGTATTTTTTCCATAACTTTCGACGTTTAGAATTGAATAACAAGCAGAAATTTGTATGCGAATTACACGAGATATATAAGATCAGGTGTGATCTATTAACCGACGATCCACATGAACTTAGCAGCAACGCAAAACGTAAAGTAGAAAATCCGTAACTAGCCTTCAAAGCAGGTATAGATGAGAAGATGACAATAAAGTATGTATAACAGATAAAGTATCTATAGATTTAATTTATCTTTATACGCCGATAACGATGGACACATTTGTGCGTATTATTGCGGCGTCTATTGGCGTACAACGCTTAGTTATGCGTAACAATACGTGGCTATAGGCCACGTACCTTCAGTGTCAAGTACCTCAAGTGCCACGTAC